TCCTGCTGATACACAAGACCAGAGATCATGGCCTGGCTTTATAATCTGGGGGCCGCTTTCCCACACCATTTAGTGGGAGCTAGGCAGGTGGAGGGGGGAGGCAGTGAGAAGGGGCAGCGAGGGACGGGGAGGGTACCGTAAGGGCCAGCCCAATGCTGGTCAGCATGGAGGTGATCTTCTCGTGTGTCCTCAAGAAGTTCTGGATCCCCTGGAGGCAGTCCTGGGCAGAGGGCAGCATGCTTGGCACCCCTCCTCATGAGTCCAAGAGCCAGGGGACTGCCACACCCAGCTAGGCCAGGGCAGTGGGAAGACAGGGTGCAGCACATTCTCAGGGAAAACCACCCTAGAGCTCAGACAAAAAGGCATCACTAAAAGGGAAAAACAAGTGAGGCAGAGCTCCCTGCCATTACCAAGGGTGCTGCTGCTATCCAGGGGTCTAGGCAGGCCTTCCTCCCAGCTTGCTGGCCACCCTCAGCCCTGGTGTTGGGCTACTATCTGGCTCCCCCAGGGCACCTCAGGGCAGGTCTGACTCACAGGGTGTCCTCAGCACCCAACCCAGGGCTGGGCATGACCCCAAAGTGACCAGAGAGTACCGGCTAACAATGAGGACAGGGATAGGTATGGGGGTCTTCTATCTGTCCCGAGCTTCTGGGTCCATCCCAGTTTTTTGGGCCCCAGCACCCACAAAGATTCTCTCTCCAGAAAAAAGGGAGGGGATGGGCCATCTGCGAGCCATTCAAGTGGTAGCTTTTGGTTTTAGGGCAGATGTGGGCATCTGGGGACAGGCTCCAAGGAAAGAAGCATAGTAGGAGACTCAGGGTGCCAGGGACAGACAGCGCCCAGTACACACTGTGGCTCACCATCCTACCCCACTGCCAACTGGCCTTCCCCTGACCCATGCCCGTCCCATCAAGGGTAGCTCTGATGCCTATGCTGGCCCTGCCATATCTCCTCTACGGTCAGCCGTGTAGCCCCACCATCTGTGCAGGGGGAGCATGAGGCAGGGAGGCACCCTGAGCTCAGCCCCCGCCAGCCGGAGCTGCTGGGCCCTCCCCTGCCCAGGCCCCTCCCCAGCACACTGGCCCTTCCGGCCCTCAGAGCGGGTGTTGCGTTGGCTCCAACCCTTGCTGGGCCGGGAGCCATTTGCAATCCTCCCTCCTGTCTGTTTCTTGGAGGGTCGCCAGGCGCCTCTTGTCTTGAGATAGGGTGGGTTAGTTTCCAGGACGGTGGGGGATGGGGATGGGCAGGCTGCTGGGCTGCAGGAGAGAAGGGCAGGAGAGGGGCCAGTCCCTCCCCAGGCTTCACTGAGAAGGGGCTTCCCTGCCTCTGGTTCCATCCTGTGGTCACCGAAGCCAGTTGCCATACCCCAGCCTAGGCTGACCCTCCTGCTTTGATGCCTCCCCCACCATGGAATGCCCTTCCAGCCCCCACTGGGACCCCTCAGGATGCCTGCTTCCTTCTCTCTAGACAGCTGAACACCCTGCTCTGTGGGACCTTGGCACGGAAACCCTGGGCAGGGCAGAGTCTCAACTGATCTTGGGAAGCCCGCAGGCTGAGAGCTCTGTGAAGGAGTGAATGGGG